ATTGGATTTTCTTACCATTTTAGTGACATCTTGAGAGAGAGAGAGAGAGAAAGCGAGAGAGAGAGAGGTCGCCATTAGAATCCTACGCAACTGTTCTGTTTGAACAGATGTGGACTTTTCACTCTTTCCAACATGGTACATGTAATTCATGTGATTATCGACAATCCCAGAATTAGTTTCATTGTATTTATGATAATGATATTTATTTGCTCTAGCACGATTTTACAGAGAGGCTATGACATAACAAACATATGTTACAGTTACAGAAACATGCTAATATATAATTTAAAAACATAATGCAGATACGTACTTTTGAAAGGTGTCCTAGATAGAATACCCATATACTGGCTCATGATTAGATATTGTATACATTTCATTTGCATAGGTGACTTGGTGGCAAACAGAGGATCGCTTTAACACGCTGTTACATATTTGGCGAGTGCCTCTATACTGTATTTGTGACAGACTTAACCTTTGTGACAGAAATGGTAGTCAGCTAGAAACCGTAATCTGTGTCCCATTACTTTGCACAGGTAACATTCATGTACTATAACCCCAACACTCCAACTAACCCTTAGCTGTACTAGCCAAATGGAATCCTGGATATCCATCACTACCCTCTACCAGGGCGACAGATTGATTTTTCACAGATATTCACAGATATGTCTCTAGATAAATAGACAGTCATTTGGCTGTGTGGATTTTTTCCGTTTTTCCCTATATAATCTGCCACCCTGACAGAAGATAATCCATTCCTAGGACTACTATTCCTGTCACATCAGCATCACTCATGGCGCCTGGACTTTGGGGTGGGTAACATGAATTTATTTATTTATTTATTTATTTATCACTAAGGGGGGCGTTACAAACTTTTGGCCAGGAACATGTCCATTCTGGTCAAATTTGATCTGGGCACATAAAGGTTCCATGGTAGAACTTTTTCTAAAATAAATAAATAAAAATAAAAAGGACCCCCCCCCCCTTGAAATCGCTGGCTACGGGCCTGTGTCTTCAGGTCCACCTTACACAAATTCCCATCTCTCGTGAGGATAGATGGATGGAGGGAGAGACGGATACTGAGATTGGTTTTCTGTGCCTCCCTCTCTTAATCACAAGCTCCAAACCTGGGAATTGTTAAATTTATGTCAGATTTTCCCTTCAAATCGAATTTTCCTCTGAAAAAGTCAATTTTTTTTTTTTTTTTACTCACGAATCTTTGCTCGACCTGTCGCTGGATTTTATGTTTAAACATATTCCGTATCAAATAATTTTAATCTAAGTGACTGGCCAGATTTCCTGTATTTCAAGTGGATATGTTGACATCAAGTATTTTATTTGAAAAAATTTATCGTTTTCTAGGTCTGAATTGGAAAAGTCAAGTAGCTTTATTTTCACGATGTGTAGACATTTGGACATTTCTAAAACGTGCATTGATTGTCTTGATTGATTGTGTTTTAGGTTGTGACTTGTAGTACATCTACCACAATCGGTGTATTTTCAGAGAGGATTGCCTTTGAAAGTCTTCAGGAGGAAACGTTTCCGAAACTTTATACTTTATGACTCGGTGGTAAAAATGTGGAACATAATAAAATTTAAGATTGGCGTCATGTCTTTTATTCATCGAACCGATACGCCCGTGCACCTATAGGCCTACCTCCCCCACCCCACCCCCCGGCGCACCAATACTTCCCTCTAGTACATTTTTGCATTACTCGCATCGATACATCCCACCGACGCCCAAGCATAGGAAGCCCAATGCTTTTTAAAATACCAGGCCCGTAGCCAGGGGGATCAGTTCGAAAGAACCACGCGCCCTTTTTGTTGGGAAAATGTCCACACTGGGTAAAATTTGATCTATGTACAGTACATAAGGATTTTATGGTGAAAGGTCCACTTGTTTTCAGAAAACGACCCCCCTTTCAAATTGCTGGCCACGGGCCTGAATAATAACTTTGAAATTTCATTAAACTAGTAGGCCTACCATCAGTTTAATTGTGAAATTCTTTACATACAGGTAGCCTATATAGCCTACATGTAGCCTACGTACTGGTACAGTGTACGTCTGTGAATATCTCACAGAGGGTATTAGGCCTAAACTAGAGTGATTTTACCATAGGCTATGTAGGGTGCAGTGGCAGATTTGGAGGGGGGGGGGGGGGG